GGATTTAATTATTAATCCGAATTTAATTATTAAATCCGGATTTAACAATTAAATCCGGATGCAGGTATTAACTCTAGCCGCGGCTGCCTTCGGCTTACAACACTATTCGCAAGATCTGCATAACCGGGCACAGATTCAAAATTTGTTCCTTAAAGCGAGGTATATCAATTGAATCGGCTATTCGGGTCATGCAAGTCAATTGATTATCAACTGTATAATAAACAAGTTTTAATTTTCTTTGAAACCTTAAGCGAAGATATCTCAACACCATCTTACCAAATTAAATAAAAATTTTTATATGAATTCTATAATTTAAATTAAATAAAAAAAAATTTGTTTTATTAAATCTGGCTAGATTTTTGTAAAGATATCTTCGTTAAAAGTTTAAAAAAAATTCGGCAATTTATCACAATAAACTTGAATTTCTTTAAAACTTTGAGCGAAGATATCTCAACAATCATTTAATGAAATTCGATGAACCGTTTTTTATTTGAATTCTACGGGTTTTTAGAATTCAAATAAAAAAATTTTCATTGAAATGATCAGATGATTGTCGAGGTATCTTCGCTCAAGTTAAAAATAATTTTGTCGCACTTTCTATTATCTCGACAACCATCTGACCAAATTCAGAGAAAATTTTTTTATTTGAATTCTACAAACCCGTAAAATCCAAATAAAAAAAATCCATCGAGTTCTATCATATTGTTGTCGAGATACCTTCGCTCAAAGTTTTAAAAACAATTTGGCACAGTTTCTATTATAAACTTGAATTTTTTAAAAGTTTGAATGAGGATCTCGACAATCATCTTATCAAATTCGATGAAAATTTTTATATTTGAATTCCTCGAGTTTGTAAAATTAAATAGAAAAAAATTTCATTGAATTTGTTCAGATGATTGTTGAGATACCTTCGCTCAGAGTTTAAAAAAAATTTTGACGCAATTTCTATTATGATTGACAAAACGTTCAGTTTCTATGATAAACGGTTTGAATTTATTTTAAAACTTTGAGAGTATCTCGACAATTTCTGACCAAATTCGATGAAAATTTTTTTATTTGAATTCTACGGGTCTGTAAAATTTAAATAAAAAAAAATTTCATCGAATTTGATCGGATAGTTGTTGAGATATCTTAGCTTGAAATCCTGAATAAAAAAGTTCATTATAAAATGGATTTTGATTGTTGGTGATCAATCGAATTGTATGACCTGGATCGTCAATCCAATTGATCTACCCGCTTACCCCAAATTTGGGGATGGCTAAAGCCATGTACCCACGTGATTTTTCTGGGTTCCACAGGGGGCCCAGATATCGACCGGTCAAATTCTGGCTCAGGTGCGACAGTTATTGGTGCGTAGTGTCAATAACGGTATTATGCATAACGTGAAAAGAGCAAAAAAAAAAATTTTATTGAAAATAAATAAAATGATTCGGATCATATGAGCAAGCAATAATGTGAAAGTTTTTATTACAAAACAAAGATTCAAAGAATTTTAAAATACAAAAAGGAACTTTACCAAGTTGTTTCGACTTATCCAATCGTAAAAAAACTGCTTCAAGCGCTTCGCCCTACCTAGAACATTTTAAAATGCGGAAATATACTGTACATGTTTTGATTATCTAAAGAATTTAAAACTATTAGAAATTTACAACACGAGCAACTATTTTCAATGCGTCAATCTGTCTAGTGAATTTTAAAACATGAAAGACGACTTTAAGTGCTTTGATTTACTTAGAGAATTTTAAAATATAAGAAACTACTCGAACGCTTCAATTTATTCTGAAAATTTATTTAAAAAGTACATACACAAAGTACGTCATATAATATTCTAGGTATACCCTGGAAAAAGAAAGGTACGTACTTACGTCAGGGCTAAAAAACGACATATAATAAATCCCGGTCATCCAAAATGTCGTTTTTGATCTATCTAAATTAAAAGTAATATATTAACAAAAACAATAGCATTAAATAACTAATAAAATTTGATCGCAATAATCATGCATCAAGCATGACACTTTGAATGACCGGAATTTACTATATGTCGTTTTAGCTCTGCTGTACGTACGTCCATCTCGATAAAGTGAAATAAGCTACGTACGTACTTTATCAATTTTTGCCGAATAACCAAATTAACCTTTTGCTGCAGCCCGATCATAGTATTTTAATAGTTATCAAACATATCATACAATCGAACATAATATCGTACCACATGGGCATCAAGATTAATTTGTCAAAAATTAAGGGTTAACAGCGCATAGAATGATCTTAACAATTAAATAAATAATTGTCTTTTTGTTGCGATTTGCAAAATTCTGGATCCCATTGTTTGAGTGATCATCACCACTCCACAATCGATTGTAATTGTGACAAAGATAAGCGCTTCTATTACATCAAAAATTCTTGTGATTGAGTTCTGATCGATTATTTTAGGGCTTATTCTCAAAAGATCGCCTGACGCCCTTACATGTAATAGAAGTGTTTACTGCGCCTCAGTCTATTGTGATTGTGGTGCGGTAATTACATGTTAGAGCATCAGACGATCTTTTGAGAATAAGCCCTAAAATAATCGATCAGAACCCAAAGGATTTTCTGATGTAGTAGAATCGTTTATCTTCGTCATAATCACAATCGATTGTGAGTGATCATCGCTCAAACAAATCGCTATAAATAAAATAAATAAAAAAAAAAAATTTTGATTTTTTTTTTCTTCAGACGGCTTATTTCATTTATACGGTTCTTTAATTATCAAGATTATTAAAGTTCTTCCAAGAAAAGTATCTTACACAAAAGCTTAAATAGTAACCTTTAGCTGCTTAATAAAAAATGGAAGCTCCGAATTACGAAACAGTAAGATCTGACGACGAATTCATAAATAATGCTGAACCAACAAGAATACAAAACCTTTATGAAGTTACTATTAAATCAGGAAATGAGGTTAAGGACACTGAAAAAGCTAATAAAACTCAACATAGAAAAGTTATGTCTAAAGATGCTACCAAGTGGTATAAAAATACTAAAGCCGTTTTGACTGCCTTCAAATCAAATTTTTTGTTGATTTTTTTACCTCCCGCAATTATTTTGAAGAATTTTCACGTCAATGAGGGTTTAGTGTTTGTCTTTAATTTTTTGGCAATTATTCCGTTAGCCAAAATTATGACTGTTGGAATTGATGATTTCGCGACCAGATTGCCTCCGGTAAAAAAAAAAAAAAAAAATGACGAATAAAATAAAAAAAAATAAAAAAATAAAAAATTTCTTTTTTTAAGCTTTAATCAAAATTTTTTTTTATATTTATCGTTTCATATTTGATGATAGGCATATGGCGTAGTTCTACATGCCTGCGCTGGAAACTTTGTCGAGCTGGTTATTTTAGGTTACGCTTTAATGGATAGAAATTATTCCATTGTCCGTTCATCTTTACTTGGCGCTATTTTGTGTAATATATTGTTGGTGAGCAATACTCGTTATAATTATTTATTTATTTATATGTAGCCTATTTAATTATTTGTGGTTTTTGAATTCTATAGATTCTTGGTGTAGTCTTTCTGGCTGGTTCATGGCCAAGGGTTCATCGTGATTCAATGCATGCTCATTTGAACACACAGTTATGGGTAGCAACTAGTGCTTCAACACTCGCTCTCGCTGTTCTTGCTCTCGTAACTCCTGCTGCATTCAAGATTGCTGCTCCTACCGGTACTGGTATTGAATGTGACATTCAAAATATCAGCCATTCTACTGCTATTGTTTTATTACTCGTATACTTTGGTCTATTGATATTTCAGCTGAAGACTCACGCTCATGAAGTTTGTAGACATTTTTGTTTACTATAGTTTTATTTTCTCTCTTATTCATTCTCTTATTTGTTTTATCTTCTCTCTTATTTACTAGGCTTTTGACACTGAAGAATATATTCAAAAAACAGCTAAATATTTCATTATATTTGATGTGCTTTTGTAAGTCTTAAACTCTTCTTATTTTGCATATCAATGCTCGTATTAAGATTATTTTCTATTCTTAGAATTCTCTTGGCAGGTTTTGGTATTACTGTATGTTCAAGATACCTTGTGACAAGTATTGAACATTTAGCTCACAACTTTAGACTTGGCACCGGTTTTATTGGGATGGTCCTTATCCCTCTTTGTGGTACATGTTTATGCTTCTCATTTTGCTATGTTGTCTGCCTTTTTTTATTACTAATAATATATATATTTAGTTGTTTCTAACTTTATGGAGCACTATGATGCCATCAAAGTAGCTTCTAAAGATAAGGTCGATACAGCTGTTAGTTTGGTCCTCAATACTTCCGTGGTAACTTGCTTTCTTTTGTTATAAAATACGAATCAACTTTAAAATTTAATTTTTTTATTAAGATTTTATTTATTGACGTTCAGATTTTAATTTTTTAAAAAATAGCAAATTGCTCTTTTAATTGCTCCTGCACTTGTTCTTTTCGGTTGGGCAATTTCTAGGCCATTAACTTTGGATTTCAACGTATTGGAAGTCAGTGTGTTAGCTTGTGCTGTACTAATTGTTAATTATCTAGTTGCGGATGGTAAAACTAATTGGTTGGAAGGGTATATGCTTATTGTATGTTTCATTTATTTATGCTTATTTTTATTATTTATAGATACTAATTATACTCAATTAACCCAATTATATTATTTTATGATCTACTTACAGATGTCTTATGTTATGGTTGCTGTTGTGTTCTTCTATCTTCCTGAGATACCTGATCTTCCTGAAAATGCAAATTGTAACCCTTGGAGCCGAAACCTTCCTCCAGAAGGTTCTACAATAAATATTGAAGATATTGTTCATTGATCCTTTTTAAATTGTTATTAATAGGCTATTTTGCACTTTATGAAACAATGCCTTATATTTCCTTTTATCACGAATTTAAATCTTCCTCCAGATTCTTCAATAAATATTTAAGATATTGTTCATTAGTCACTTTAAATTGCTATTAATAGACTTTTTTTTGCACTTTATGAAACAATGCCTTATCTAAATTAATATCTCCTTTTCCACGAATTTTTATTTTTAATTATGTATTTACATGTCATAATTCGTATAATTTTATTACGAGTTGTATATCTATTGTTGCGGCTCAAGCTGGAAACGGCTGAGACTGGAATTTTAAATACTTTAATATTAAATTTTCAAAATTTTTAGGGTGTATTTTTTTTTAGCTTAGTAGTGCTCCGAAACGGCCCGGGTAGTTGATCGGGTTAGCCATACTTACCAGGGCAAACCCCGGATTTTGCTAGTTAATAAAATCATCAAACTTTTATCATATCTAACACTAACGTTAATAAAAAAAAAAAAACTTTAAATTAATACATTTAATTACAATTAATTTATACCATTCTTTAGCATCTTATAATTTACACGAATTTATTATTATTATTACTAATGCATTATTAATGCTTTAAGGTGACCAATTGTGGCTTAAATGCCACAATATTACCACCACGAATTTAAGATGATATAGTGATGGTCATATATAATTTTTTTTTTATAATTAAATATTGGGATCTAAGGTAGATATACCTAATTTGACGCAGTTCCTAATTTGACGCACGACGATATCTTGTGAACTGTCGATCAGAATTACATGATTCTGGTACCATTCGATTCGTCTCATCAAGACGAATCGAACGGTACCAAAATCACATGATTCTGATCGAAGTTTCATTTAACCAAAATAGCCCAAGGTAGATATTCCTAATTTGACGCAGGTAAACGTTTACGATAAATATCATGCGGCGTATCGATCAGATTCGCAAGAT